CCTCCCTCACTTTCACACTTGACTCCGGAGCTTCTCGCTCCTTTCGAGACCGCACTACCCTTACGCCGCTTGGCCGGCCGGTTGCGGTCTCCCTTGCTGACCCCTCTGGGGGTCCTGTCCTGTCTCACTTCTCCACTGTCCTCCCGTGTCCGGCTGCCCCTTCGGGCACCCTGTCGGGTCTGTACCTTCCCTCGTTCTCTACGAACTTGGTGAGTGGAGCAGACCTGCAGGATGGGGGTGTTCACCAGTTCACTCCTGCGAGTCAGCGGGTGACCCACTGCACGGAGGCACGCACAGGCCGACACCTGGCCACGTTCTCGCGTCGGCCGGGGTCGAGTCTCTACACCGTGACCGTTGAGTCTCCTCCTGTCCCTGCGTCTGGTCAAGTGGCTGCGTCGGGTCAGGTACTTGCTGCTGCGTCCCGGTCAGGTCCTGAGTCTGCCCCCTGTTCTTGTCGCCTCCTGTCTCACGAGACTCTCCTGTGGCACCACCGTCTTGGCCACCCCTCCTTGCCCCGTCTTCGGAGCATGGCTTCCCGTGTCCTTGTCTCTGGTCTTCCCCAGTCTCTCCCTCCTCTCCCCTCCGGGCCAGGACCTTCCTGTGTCCCCTGTGTCGAGGGTCGCCTCCGGGCTACTCCTCACTCCTCCCACTTCCCCCCGACAGAGGCTCCCCTGCAGACGCTTCACATGGATGTGTGGGGCCCAACCCCCGTCCGTGGGCAGGGTTACGAGCGCTACTTCCTGTTGGTGGTTGACGACTACTCGCGTTACACCACAGTCCTCCCCTTGCGCAGCAAGGGTGCGGTCACTGAGGTGCTGATCGACTGGATCCGCGAGGCTCGTCTCCAGCTCAGGAAGAGGTTCGGCTCGGACTTTCCTGTTCTGCGTCTGCACTCTGACCGAGGCGGAGAGTTCTCTTCTCGCCTTCTGCGAGACTACTGTCGTGCACGGGGGATCCGCCAGACCTTCACGCTTCCGGACTCACCACAGCAAAATGGGATTGCTGAGCGCCGCATTGGCATGGTCATGGATGTCGCTCGTACGTCCATGATGCATGCGGCTGCCCCCCATTTTCTGTGGCCGTTTGCGGTGAGGTACGCGGCGCATCAGCTCAACCTTCACCCCCGGGTCTCTCGGCCTGCGATGTCCCCAGCCTTGCTGTGGACGGGGAAGGTTGGCGATGCGTCTGTGTTCCGTGTCTGGGGATCTCGGGCGTTTGTCCGCGACTTGTCTGCGGACAAGCTGTCCCCTCGCGCTGCTCCCTTTGTCTTCCTTGGCTTCCCCACTGACGCCCCAGGGTGGCAGTTTTACCACCCCTCCTCTCGTCGTGTTCTGTCCTCCCAGGACGTCACGTTCGACGAGTCAGTCCCCTTCTACCGTCTCTTCCCCTACCGCACTCCTTCCCTCCCCCCTCCCCCGGACTTCCTTGTGCCGGTTCCCCCCCCGGTAGACCCCCTCCCCCCTCAGGTTCCTGCCCCCTCAGGTGTGTCCCAGGTAGACGCCGTTGACCCGGTCGAGGTTACTGGTGACTCTGGTGCTGCTGCGGGTGCTGAGCCTGGGGGTGCTGACTCTGGGGGTGTTGTGCGCGGAGGTGTTGAGCCTGGGGGTGCTACTGCTGGGGGTGCTGGGCCTGAGGGTGCTACTGCGGAGGGTGCGGAGCCTGGGGGTGCTGAGCCGGGGGGTGCTGTGCCTGGAGGTGCTGGGTCTGGGGGTGCTGGGTCGGGAGCTGCTGAGCCTGGGGGTGCTGAGCTGGGAGCTGCTGCGCCTGGGGGTGCTGCGTCTGGAGCTGCTGAGCCTGGGGTTTCTCCTGCTGCTGCGTCTCGCCGGGAGCCCCTCTCTCCACAGGAGCTGCGCGAGTGGTTCGCTCGCCGCTGGAGGCGTGCTGCTGAGTCTAGAGGTGCTGCTGGAGCTGGGGCTGGAGCTTCTTCGACCGTCGAGGGTGCGAGTGCTGCCGGTCCCGGAGCTGCTGGACCTGCGGGTCCTCCTGGAGCTGGAGCTGCTGAGGGCGTTGGTGCTGAGCCTACTGCTGTTGGTCCTGCCGCTGGAGGTGTGGGTGGCGCTGGTGCTGTCGCTGAGGGTGCTGGTGCTGTCCCTGCTGAGTCTGGAGCTGCCGCGCGGCCTCGGCCGTACTTCGTTCCGCTCCTGCAGCAAGTTCTTGGTCTTTCTCCTCCAGTAGAGGGTCCACCGCCTGTCCAGTCGCAGTCCCTGCTGGAGCCTTCCTCTCCACTGCCTGCTCCCTCTCCTTACACTGGTCCTACTGGAGGTCTTGCTGAGCGTCGTGAGCCTGCGTCTCGTCCCGCGTCGCCTGTTCGTGCTGCTCGCGCTAGTGGTCGCAGTTCGCGTCAGCGTCCTCCTCCTGTCCCTGGCACGCACCGGATGTCTTTACGTCCGTCCACTGCTCCTCTGCGTGCCCCTTTGCCTTCTCCTCCTGAGTCCTCTCTTCCTGCGCTTGCCGACCCTGAGTCGGACTCTCTTCGTGCTGCCAGTCCTACTGTCACGCGTCTGCTTGCTACTGTCGTCACTGACCCCTCTTTTGAGTCCACTGCTGCGTCTGCTCTAGTCGCTGAGCTCGTCGACTTTGCTGCTCGCTGTCGTCTCGACTACGCTGCTAGTCTTGTTGCTGAGTCTGCGTCTGTCTGTCCTCCGTCCGTCGGGGGTGAGTGTGCTCTTGGCACGGACGTCCTAGAGGACAGGCAGGAGGAGTTACAGTTTCTAGCGGCTGCTTCACCTCATCTCGCGTCTGTACTGCTTGCCCCTGAGGGAGACCCGGATGCACTAGACATCCCGACTCCGCGTTCTTACGCGGAGGCCGTAGAGGGTCCCTACTCCTCTCAGTGGCAGGCAGCTATGGATGCAGAGATGGCTTCCTGGAAGTCCACAGGCACCTACGTTGACGCGGTTCCCCCTCCTGGGGCGAACATCGTCAGTGGCATGTGGATCTTCAGGGTGAAGCGGCCGCCGGGCTCTCCACCTGTCTTCAAGGCACGGTACGTTGCTCGTGGCTTCAGTCAGCGGCAGGGAGTTGACTACTTTCAGACCTTCTCTCCCACCCCGAAGATGACTACTCTTCGGGTGCTGCTGCACATAGCCGCTCAGCGCGACTACGAGCTTCACTCTCTCGACTTCAGCACTGCGTTCTTGCAGGGTAGCCTGCACGAGGAGATCTGGCTTCGCCGTCCACCTGGCTTCACTGGGACTTTCCCTCCTGGCACCCAGTGGAGCCTCCGACGGCCAGTCTACGGTCTCCGCCAGGCACCGCGTGAGTGGCACGACACACTGAGGACTACGCTTGCGGCTCTTGGGTTTGCTCCTTCTACTGCTGACCCGTCGCTGTTTCTTCGCACCGACACTTCCCTGCCGCCGTTCTACATCCTCGTGTACGTCGACGACTTGGTCTTTGCCACAGCGGACACTGCTGGACTCGCCTACGTGAAGTCCGAGCTGCTGAAGAGACACACGTGCACAGACCTGGGTGAACTGCGCAGCTACCTTGGCTTGCAGATCACTCGGGACAGAGCACGCCGCACCATTACCTTCACTCAGTCACACATGGTGCAGCAGGTCCTTCAGCGCTTCGGCTTCACGTACTCCTCGCCTCAGGCCACTCCTCTGCCTACTCGCCACTCACTCTCAGCTCTGCCTTCGGATGAGTCCGTAGAGTCGAGTGGTCCGTATGCAGAGCTTGTTGGCTGCCTCATGTACCTGATGACCTGCACACGACCTGACCTTGCATACCCTCTGAGCATTCTTGCACGCTATGTTGCTCCTGGGAGACACAGACCGGAGCACATGGCTGCAGCGAAGAGGGTATTGCGCTACCTGTGCAGTACGTCGGGCATGGGGCTAGTGCTTGGAGGGCGGAGTCCAGTGGTCCTTACCGGCCACGCGGACGCTTCTTGGGCTGACGACCAGGCTACGCAGCGGTCGTCACAGGGTTACACCTTCAGTCTTGGTTCCGGCTCTGTCTCGTGGCGGTCTACTCGCTCGTCTTCGGTTCTCGGCTCCAGTTGTGAGGCTGAGATCTACGCCGGGGCCATGGCTGCACAGGAGCTTCGCTGGCTCACCTACCTGCTGACTGACCTTGGAGAGCCGCCTCGTTCTCCTCCAGTGCTGTACGTAGACAACAAGGCCATGCTGGCCTTGTGTCGAGAGCAGCGCTTGGAGCACAGAACGAAGCACATTGCTCTCCGCTACTTCCTTGCTCGTGAGCTGCAGCAGCGTGGTCAGTTGCGACTTGCGTACGTGGCCTCTGAGGCCAACACTGCTGATGTGTTCACCAAGGCACTCGCGCCTTGTGACCATCAGCGTTTTTGCACCCAGCTGGGTCTTGTGCCTGTCTTGCCTCACTTGCTCTCCTCTTGACTTCACTTGTACTGTGACATATATATATGCCTGTTCTTGCTTGTCTAGTTTTATATATATGTCTGTACTCCTGCATGTGAACTGGCCTCTGGCCCTACTCTTGTGCTCGGACTGTGTGGTGACTTTGTGATCCACCCTGAGCTTGCTTTGCTTTGCTTGACTGGTCTTGTGACCCCTTGTTCTCCCCCACTTTGCCTATGGGGGTGTGTCAGATTTATATGACATAGTTGCTGTAGGCTATAGTGGGGTAGCACATATGGGGTACAGGTTCTCTAGGGTTGTATTTGTACCCAATCTTTCCTTAGTCATTTCATTCCTGTTTTCTTTACTTCACAAGCGCCTGCAGCGCCGAGCAGCCGAACCGCCGGCCAGCTGAGCCGCCCGACCGCCCGAGCCGCCCAGCAACCGAGCCGCCCGGCAGTCGAGCCGCCCAGCAGCCGAGCCGCCCGACAGCCGAGCCGCCCAGCACCGTGCAGCCGAGCCGCCCAGCAGCCGAGCCACCCAGCAGCCGAGCCGCCCAGCAGCCGAGCTGCCCTGCAGCCGAGCCGCCCAACAGCCGAGCCGCCGAGCAGCCCGATCGCTCCACCTACCTGGTAAGAGCACAGTCTCTGCCACTGCACTGCCCTGCCTACTGCTGTTATGGCTTCCCCTAGCGTTCTCACCTTTGACGCTAAGGGTCGGGCAGTGGACTTTGAGGTCTGTGTAGATGATCTGCAGCTTTTCCTGCAGTGCGATAGGGCAGACGGCCTCTCCCTGTTTGACTCACTTCTGGTGCCTCCCCTGCCCGTGCTGCTGATGCTGACGCCACTGTTCGCTCACAGTGGGCCACACGTGATGCTGCTGCTCGCCTTGCTGTGCGCTGCCACTTACCGACCACTGAGCGTGCACACTTTAGCCAGTACATGAGTGCTCAGACCTTGTACGTCGCTGTAGTTGCACGCTACTCTTCCCCTGCCACTGCTGCACTGAGCCGCCTCATGCTACCGTACCTCTTCCCTGACCTTGCTGCCTTTCCCACAGTCGCTGACCTCATTACGCACCTCCGCACTAGTGACACTCGCTACTGCGCTGCGCTTCCTGCTGAGTTCTGCGCCAAGAACCCCCCCCCCATGTACATCACCCTCTACTACATAGTCACCCGTCTCCCTGACTCTCTCCGTGTAGTCAGGGACCACTTCCTCTCTGTTTACCCCAACACTCTCACCGTTGACCTCCTCAAGAAGGCCCTCCTAACGATAGAGAATAGCATAGTCGCTGTAGGAGCCTCTCGTGGTGACCCTCGCACCCCCGTCTTTGAGGGGTGTTCTCCCTCCCCCCTCTTGCCCTCTGTTGCCTCTGCTGCTGCGGCGGACCTCGTTGGTTTCGAGTCGGTCGGCGCTGCGTCTGCCCCGAGCGGGAGACGCCGCACCGGCAAGGGCAAGGGGGGCAAGGGCACTGGAGGGGGTGGAGGGGGCGGTGGAGGTGGTGGTGGAGGCGGTGGAGGGAGTGGGGGTGGTGGTGGGAGTGGTGCTGGGGGTGGCGGCGGCGGCGGCAGCAGTGGAGGCGGCGGAGGCGGTGGAGGTGGCGGAGGGAGCGGAGGCGGCGGAGGTAGTGGAGGAGGCGGAGGTGGAGGAGGCGGCGGAGGCGGCGGAGGCGGCGGCGGCGGCGGAGGCGGCGGCGGCGGCGGAGGCGGCGGTGGTGGAGCGAGTCGCGACTCTGCGCCGAGGAGTGGCGCCGGTGGTGGTCAGCGCCAGCAGCAGCAGCGGAGTGGTGTGACCCTGTCCCCTTAGCACCTTCGTGAGTGGTACACTGCATGCCAACGCGGTGGGGGTTTTGGTCCCTGCTCTTACGTTCTTAGTACCAGCGACCACAGTGGTGAGCAGTGCGGAAGTCTGCACTCCACCCAGCGCTGCTTTGGTCGCCTGACGGACGCGTGGCATCGCCAATTCCCTGAGGCGTCAGAGATCCCTCGCTCGGGAGATCTGGCTAAGGCCGGGGTTGCTATCTTTGATCTTGACTTTGATGCTATTCTTGCTGCCATGTATGCTGTTGCTGATAGTGTTGAGGGTGCTGGTTACCTATGTGTACCGCCTGACCCGGGCATTGAGGCTGCTGCGCTAGGTGCTGGTGAGACTGCTGCTCTAGGTGCTAGTGCGTCTGCTGCCCCACGTGCCAGTGCGTCTTCCGCCCCAGGTGCTGGTGAGTCTGCTCTCTCAGGTACTACGTTAGCTCAGGCCTTCCACACCTTCACCCTGGACTCGGGTGCGTCTCGCTCCTTCTTTCGAGACCGCACCACTCTTACGCCGCTTAGTCGGCCAGTTGCAGTCTCCCTGGCAGACCCCTCTGGGGGTCCTGTCCTTGCTAGCTTCTCCACTGTCCTTCCGTGCCCTGCAGCCCCCTCTGGCACCCTGTCTGGCCTCTACCTCCCCTCGTTCTCTACAAACTTGGTGAGTGGAGCGGACCTACAGGATCGAGGGGTTGACCAGTTCACTCCTGCGAGTCAGCGAGTGACCCACTGCAGGTGTGCTCGGACAGGCCGACACTTGGCCACGTTCACCCGTCGGCCAGGGTCGAGCCTGTACACCCTTACTGCTGAGTCTCCTCCTACTGCTGATTCTGCCCAGGTAGCTGCGTCGAGTCAGATGTTTGCTGCGATGTCCAGGTCTGGTCCTGAGTTTGCCCCCTGCTCGTGTCGTCTGCTGTCCCACCAAACTCTCCTTTGGCACCACCGCCTTGGTCACCCCTCCTTGCCTCGTCTCCGAGGCATGGCCTCCCGTGTCCTTTGCTCCGGCTCTGTCTTGTGGCGGTCTACCCGCTCGTCCTCTGTTCTCAGCTCCAGCTGTGAGGCTGAGATCTACGCAGGGGCCATGGATGCACAGGAGCTACGCTGGCTCACCTACCTGCTGACTGACCTAGGAGAGCCGCCTCGTTCTCCTCCAGTTCTATACGTAGACAACAAGGCCATGCTGGCCTTGTGTCGGGAGCACAGACTAGAGCACAGAACGAAGCACATTGCTCTCCGCTACTTCCTGTCTCGTGAGCTGCAGCAGCGTGGTCAGCTCCGCCTCACCTACGTGGCCTCTGAGGCCAACACTGCTGATATCTTCACCAAGGCCCTTCCGCCTTGTGATCATCAACGCTTCTGTACTGTGCTAGGTCTTGTGCCTACCTGCTCATTTCTTGATCTTGCTTGTACTGTCTTCTTTCTATACCTGCCCTTGCTTGTTTTACCTTTATATATATGACCTTGCATGTGAACTGGCCTTGTGGCCTTACTCTTGTGCTCGGATTGTGTGGTGACTTTGTGATCCACCCTGAGCTTGCTTTGCTTTGCTTTGCTTTGCTTGACTGGTCTTGTGACCACTTGTTCTCCCCCACTTTGCCTATGGGGGTGTGTCAGAACATTATAGCTTACACATTTGCGTAGGCTGTAGTGGGGTAGCCCATAAGGGGTACAACCCAATTAGGGTTAGTACTTGTACCCAACTATTTCATAGTTCATTCATTCCATTCTCACTTCTCGTCACAGTCAGCGGCAGGGAGTTGACTACTTTCAGACCTTCTCTCCCACCCCAAAGATGACCACTCTTTGGCTGCTGCTGCACATAGCCGCTCAGCGCGACTACGAGCTTCACTCTCTTGACTTCAGCACTGCTTTCCTACAGGGCAGCCTGCACGAGGAGATCTGGCTGCGCCGCCCACCTGGCTTCACTGGGTCGTTTCCTCCTGGTACCCAGTGGAGCCTCCGGCGGCCAGTCTACGGTCTCCGCCAGGCGCCCCGTGAGTGGCACGACACACTGACTACACTTGCGGCTCTTGGGTTTGCTCCTTCTACAGCCGACCCGTCGCTGTTTCTAAGCACCGACACCTCTTTGCCGCCGTTCTACATCCTCGTGTACGTCGACGACTTGGTCTTTGCCACTGCTGACACTGCTGGACTCGCCCACGTGAAGTCCGAGCTGCAGAAGAGACACACATGCACAGACCTGGGTGAACTGCGCAGCTACCTTGGCTTGCAGATCACTCGGGACAAAGCACAGCGCACCATTACCCTGACTCAGTCACACATGGTGCAGCAGGTCCTTCAGCGCTTCGACTTCACGTACTCCTCGCCTCAGGCCACTCCTCTGCCTACTCGCCACTCGCTCTCAGCTCTGCCTTCGGATGAGTCCGTAGAGCCGAGTGGCCCGTACCCAGAGCTTGTTGGCTGCCTCATGTACCTGATGACCGGCACTCGACCTGACCTTGCATACCCTCTTAGCATCTTGGCACGCTATGATGCTCCTGGGAGACACAGACCAGAGCACATGGCTGCAGCGAAGAGGGTGTTGCGCTACTTGTGCTGTACGTCGCGCATGGGGCTCGTGCTTGGAGGGCGGAGTCTAGTGGTCCTCACTGGTCACGCAGACGCTTCTTAGGCGGACGACCTAGCTACGCAGCGGTCGTCACAGGGTTACACATTCAGCCTTGGTTCCGGCTCTGTTTCGTGGCGGTCTACCCGCTCGTCTTCTCTTCTCGGCTCCAGCTGTGAGGCTGAGATCTGCGCAGGGGCCATGGCTGCACAGGAGTTACTCTGGCTCACCTACCTGCTGACCGACCTAGGAGAGCCGCCTCGTTCTCCTCCAGTTCTATACGTAGACAACAAGGCCATGTTGGCCTTGTGTCAGGAGCACAGACTGGAACACAGAACGAAGCACATTGCTCTTCGCTACTTCCTTGCTCGTGAGCTGCAGCAGCGTGGTCAGCTGCGCCTTGCTTACGTGGCCTATCTGGCCAGCACTGCTGGTATCTTTATCAAGGCACTTCAGCCTTGTGATCATCAGCGCTTTTGTACGATGCTAGGTCTTGTGCCTACTTGGCCTTACCTGCTCACTTCTTGACCTTGCTTGTACTGTGATCTATCTATACCTGCACTTGCTTGTTTACCTTTATATATAATTCTGCATGCGAGCTGGCCTTGTGGCCTTGAACTGGTGCTCGGAATGTGTGGTGACGTTGTGATCCACCCTGATCTTGTTTTGCTTGACTAGTCTTGTGGCCCTTAGTTCTCCCCCACTTTGCCTATGGGGGTGTGTCAGATATATATGACATAGTGTTTGTAGGCTCTAGTGGGGTAGACACTAAGGGGTACAGGTTTTTAGGGTTTCATATTTGCATCACACAGTTTCCTAGTTCATTCATTCCTCATTACTTCACAAAGCCTTCGCTCATTGTACTCTTGCTTCGACAGTGCAATTCTCGCTCGCTCACTCAATTGCACTCGTAACAGCAGGCGAGATTGGTTATTCGGATTGGAACTCGTCGTGCCAACCTTGAATTCAAAATTCCTGCATATGACTGACAAAGTTTGAAGAAAGAAAGAGGATTGAACTAGCAAGAATGAGGATACAAATAGCAAACCCTAGAAGGGTTGTACTCGCTATAGAGCACCCCACTACAGGCTAGAACAATAAGATAATATTCTGACACACCCCCATAGCCAAAGTGGGGTGTAATCAGCAGAGCAGGCAAAGCAATACAAGCTCAGGGTGGATCACAATGTCACCACACATTCTGAGCACAAGTTCAAGAAGAAATAGTTTAGAGTTCACAATTATAAGCAAAGCTAGTGGTAGTCACAACGGGCAAGTGAGGAGGAGGAGGGAGAGTGAGGGGAGAGGAGATAGGAGGCGACGGCTGAAGCTGCAGACACACGGGCAACAGGAGGCAGACTGGCACAGCGGCTACCGGACAGCGCCCGGACTACAGGTGTAACAGGCCCCGCGGCTCAAATAGCGGCGGACGGGCAACGGACCCACAGGCGGCTGGCGTAGAAGTCTAGCTCACTGGGCTACCGGGACAGCGCCCCGGACTACAGGTGCTGCTGACGACAAACTGGCAACCTCCGCTCATCCTCCCGCACACAGTCCCACCCCCCTGATACACACCCACTGCTACACCGCTAGCTCTACTCCCACGCACCCCCCTTAAACCCTAAACCCCGGTCTCCCACACAACCACCCCCCTCAGCGACAGCTGCAGCAGTGGGAGACGAAGGAGGAGGAGGAGCAAAGGGAGGAAGGCACACCGATCACCCTCATACCCGCCACCCCACAGCTCGCCCCTCCCGTCGTCCGTCGAGGCGACCTGAGGGGGCCGCTGGGGGGGAGGGGAGAAAGGAGCCCACCACGGACCTGAGAGAGTCGCAGGTGGGGGGACGGGGCCGGGGCCGCGAGTAGGGCGACGGGGCCGCGCGGGCGGCGACGGGGCCGCTGCGGCGGCGGCGGGTGGGGAGGGGATCGCTGCGGGCGGCGACCGGGCCGCACGGGCGGCGACAGGGCCGCTGCGGCGGCGACGGGGCCGCTCGGGCGGCGAAGGGGCCGCGGCGGGTGGGGACGGGGTCGCTGCGGGCGACGACGGGGCCGCACGCGACACCCCAGACCGTCGTAACGGACGGGCGGGGGCCGCGCGCGGCTCCCCTGGGCGGCGCGACGGGGCAGCGGGCGGCGCGCCAGAGAAGAAAGGGGCCGCGCGCCGAAGGTGGCGGGGCCGCGACCGGAGTAGGGCGGCGGGGCCGCGACGGGTCCCCGTCGCCCGTCGCGACGCCTCTAGAGCGAGACGCGGCGAACGCCGCGAGGCAGACGCCCGCCGCGCGCCTCGGGGCGCACAGCGGGCAGAGAACCGCCGCGCGCCTCGGGGCGCACGGCGGGCAGAAAACCGCCGCGCGCCGTGGGGCGCACGGCGGGAGGAAAAAGTAGCAGCGGAAGCGAGGTGGGAACACACCCACAGGATCGATCCAAGGGGATCGACCTGCTCTGATAGCATGACAAAGTTTGAAGAAAGAAAGAGGATTGAACTAGCAAGAATGAGGATACAAATAGCAAACCCTAGAAGGGTTGTACTCGCTATAGAGCACCCCACTACAGGCTAGAACAATAAGATAATATTCTGACAATGACATCCGATTGCATGTGTAGTTCTCTTAGTAGATAGACTTCTTTTGCTGTTCCAATAATGTATTATGTTGACATATCTAACTATTGGATAAAGACAGATCAACTTGATTATTCGTATCCCAGTACTATGTCGTAGAACATCTATATGTACCGCAATGCAGCTTGCTGCATCGCACTGTAACACAGGTCAGCATGTTATCTTCGACGACTATTGACCTCACGTTTCGAGAAAACATTACGACGTTAGTGAAGCAATACAAGTGTTCTCGTTTATAGTCCGACGGATGAACATCGCTGCGCGCGGATTATGTGGCAAGCCCTTCAAACACCAGGCAAAACGCGATACTTATAGTCCCGTTAAGGAAATTTGCTTGAAGAGTGGTTGTTTTGCTACTAGTTTCTGGAGTTTGGCATTCACGTAGATTTGGACCGCGCTTGCTTCATCTTCCAGTTGCACGGTTTTCCACGCTGATCTATGTCGCATGACTTACGGTCAAAACAAAACAAAATCAACTATGGTTTGGGGCCGAATATTAACTCAAGAACTTCGCTTCTACCGTGTAAGCGAGATAAATGAGATGTCATCGCCGATTGCGCTGGAGACAGCGCAACAGGATTGAGAAGTACTCGCGGTCAAGAAAAACAACTACCTACAATAAAAACTCTAAAATATCGAATCGACGATCCCTTCTTCATCGTTTTCCTTGAATTTTGGGCTGGTTTGATCTGGAGCTTCTGATTGGCTGCGGAGCTGATTCGTGCAATAATTGGGTCAAGCTGCAAAATTTCCCGCCAGAAACGGGACTATAGGGGTCAGGCTAACCCTAGGCGATATCGGAAAATTCTACTCAGGGGGAAAAAGGGACTCTCTCAGCGAGGGCCTCTAACCCGGAACATCTGTAGTGAAGCATGGTGGGCAGCACATGCGGCGTTTGACAATTTACTTCGCTACCCCTTTACCCCGGCCACCACAGTTTGCCGCACTACCTTAGTAGCAGCACCCCCGTTGATAACCTCACCGCTGATTCGTGGGCCCATTTCGCTCGTCGACCGTCTACTCGCACTGCCATTTCCAAACCGCCTGCGATTAGGACCGCCTGAAGGCTATCCCAGGCTGAAGAGAGGAGCGCTGCATAAACCATCAACACCCATCCAACATTCCTGTCCGCACATCTCCTCGATGGATGCGACGTCGCGCTGTTCGAAACAAACAACCTTCCCGCCTTCGACCAGGGGTGCTGGGGGGTACCAATCAGTCGATCACATTTCGCTCATTTTTGTCAAACCTAACAATGTCAACTTCTTAGCCGTTTACGCCTGGGCCTCGATTGATAGGCGTGCGGAAGTGCGGCGAACGTGAGTCGTAGCGAGCGAGTATCAATCACCCAGTGAGCATTCTTATCTCGCAGGCATATATACTACTCATGTCCACCCGCGCATGATCATCTGCTCATAGCCACTCTCGCCTCCCGTCCACCCCAATCGTAACAACCACGTTCCCTACTACTGCTATTAGCACTCGCAAGACCGACTCCGTGGGACGAGAGCAACGTTCGCCGCTACTACTGCTGTGGGACTCACGTCGGCCCACCTCTCGGACCTTCGTCCGTGCTCACCGAGCAAACCACCTAATCCTGGACATCATCTCACGGACTGAAGCCAATTATTGCCCGCCTTCGCCTGGACCTGAAGCCAATTACTGCCCGCCTTTGCCTTGGCGGACCTGAAGCCAGTAATTGTCGGGCGAATGGCGTGCGTCAAGTGGAGCCCCGTCGGCCTCCCCCTGCTGCTGCTGCTGCTCCTCGCGGGTAAGTTAAACCCCATTTGCCCCCCCACCCCCCCTTGCTGCTGCTGCTGCTGCTGTTGCCGCTGCTCCTCGCTGGTAAGCCGCTTACTAGCAGCGAGAGAAGTTTAAAGCCCGAGTCTAGAATGGTAAGGGTTCAACTTCAAGATTCTTGAACTTGAGTTCGTCAAGATCAGGGTAACCAGATTGAGAAAGCTTCTCCCTCTCGACCCACCGAGAAGGGAGTTGGTGGGCCAGAAGGTGATTGGCCAAATGCCCCACAGCAAAAACAGCGACGAGCCTCGCCAGAAACAAACAAGAACAAGTATCACTGTTCACACTTTCAGAACTTGAAACTCGAGAATACCTTTCTAGACTCGTAGCATAGTGTGCTCCATAGCCCTAGTTCTTGTCGTTAGCCGAGTATAGTTATGCCCATCTCCGTACTATGCTAAGACTTTAGTAGCACATCGAGACGGCCCTTCCCGTTGACTTTTCCGCGCATAACAAGTGCGATCTGGTAGCCAACAGCAAATCCAGAATGCCGCCTCGATTAATCGCCATCGTAAGAATCACTCGTCGCCACTGACGGTTATATCGCGTTAGCCGACACTCGCATAGCCAATAGCGAAATCGGCTATGACACCTCGACAGTCACTCCCGTCCCACACTCAATCCCTTCCCGCACTCAATCAAATCATTCACAGACTGCTGTCGCTCTCCCACTTCTGTCATCCACACTCGCCGGAGGCACATGTCACTTTCTCAATCCCGTCACTCACTCACAGCCATCGCTTACATACTCCCGTCGCTCACTAACTCCCATCGCTCACTCAATCCTGTCGCTCACACACTCACTCCCGTTCCGCCGTCACTCCCGTCGCGCCTTCACTCCCGTGGCGCCTTCACTCCCGTCGCGCTCTCACTCCCGTCGCACCCTCACTCCCGTCATCCACACACGTCGCAGGCACATGCCACCCACACGCGCCATACACGACTTAATCACACATGTCCCTCTCGCCTCCCTCCTCCAGACCCTCTCTTTTCTTCTCCTCCCTTGGCTCTTCCCTTCCCTACTGCTGCTCCCCCTTCCCTACGCGCTGCTCCCCCTTCCCTACGCGCTGCTCCCCCTTCCCTACGCGTCACACACGACTTGCCCACACATGTTCCCATCTCCCCTCTCCTCCCTTCCCTTTTCTTTCCTCTCTTCCCTTCCCTCTCTGTCCACCTCCTTCCCTTCCCTGTCTTCGCCTCGCCTCCCCTCCCACTCATCCCCTCTCCTTCCTTCCCTCTGTCCACTACCCGAGGGCCAGGGAAGGGGACTGAGGAGACCTTTCTTCCCTCCCGCCTCACTCACTCCCCTTGCTCACTCAATTCCATTGCTTGCTATTGCACATCACCTTCACGCACACCTTTGTCACAGAGACACTCACTCACTCACTTCCTTCTGTTACCAACATCACTCCTGTTACCATGCCTGTCACTTGCTTCCCTCACCGCTTCTCTCCTCCCTTCCCTCTCTCACCCCCCCTCCATCCTCCAGTCCCTCCCGTCCTTCCCGTCGTGCACGTCCCTCCTGTCCCTCTTGTCCCTCCCGTCCCTCCCATTCCCCCCGTCCCTCCCGTCGCCCAACACCTTCCGTCCCACCCCTCGCTTCAGTTCCGCATTCGCTCCTGTCGTTCTCTTCCCTCCCGTCCCTCCTTTCCCTCTCCGGTTCTCGTCATCCGTCCCTCATTCGCATCGCTCACTCGATCCGTCGCGCACTCCCCCTTTCGCTCGAACAAACACACCATTCACGCAGGGCAACCGCCTTGCATTGGGCCTGTCGCTCACACACTTACATGTGACATTCACTCCCGTTCCGCACACTCACTCCCCTCCTCTCCTCTCCCTTTCCCCGTGTCCTTCCCTCCGTTTCCCCCCTTGTTCCTCTCTCTCTTTCCCTGTGTCCGTTTCCCACCTTCCCCCTCCCTCCCTTTCCTCCATTCCTAACTGCTCCTACCCTCCCCTGCTTCTCATCACTTGTTTTTCCCCGTTCTTCTGATCTCCGCCCTTCCCCGTCACCCACACACGTCACAGGCACATATTACTTACACCTTCCCTCCTCCCACTTCCCCTCCTCCCACCTTCCTTTGCTCCTACCCTCCCTTCCCTCTGTTCCGCGCACCTCTCTTCCGCCATCTCTCCGCCCTTCTCTCACTGAACCCTCTCCTCCTTTTTCTCCCCCACTCTTTGCTTTCTTCTCATTTCATCTCTCTTCGCTTCACTGTCCTCTACTCCCTTCCCTTCACGTCTCTTTCATGTCCTCTACCATTTCCTTCTCGCTGCCCGTATCCGCTCGCTTGTTCTGACTCCATGGGTCTTCTCAAGTTGAGCCCGACTTACGCCTCACAAAATGGATGTGCAGCACCACCACTCTCCTTCTGCAGTTGTGAACTGGAAGAGCGATAATGAGCACGAGATGGATAATATATTTTTTTCACCAGGGAATTAACTGACTTGACACTGTCTCAGCTGCTTGGTTTATGTCCCCTTTTTGGCTGGCATAAATATATTCCAGCAAATCGCCCATCTCAAGGCTTTATTTTTCATTGATGGTACCCTAAACCATTTTTTACAAGTTTCTAAATCGGTCTTGCATATGTTGAAAACCATTTTGTAACAGCTTGGTCAATATTCCAGAATCTCTCGAGGCATCTCAGCTTTTGGCAAATAGTAGCATTTTTGTCCTTTCTGCAGCCAGCTTTGTTTCTTGAACTCGAAAGTTGGGTTGGGTTGTACTTCGCCACACCTGTTTTGCGATTTTTTCTGTCGCCACACTTCGCAAACCTAACTTCAACTTCAGTAAATATGAAAGTTAGCCGGTCTAGACTCGGGCTTTAAGCCTTGCAATTTGTATTCACTCACCTCTCCCCGCGGCCTGTGTGCGGTGCTGTGCTGTGCAATGCTGTGTTTTGTTGTGCTGTGCGATGCTGTGTTTTGCTGTGCTGTGCGATGCTGTGTTTTGTTGTGCTGTGCTGTGCTGTGCTATGCTGTGGTGTACGGTTCTGTGCTGTGCTGTGTGGTTCTCTGCTGGCAGGGATGCTGGACACTCCGTGTACGACCATCCGCACTGCTGCTCTTGCGGTAAGCTCCAATTCGATCCTCTGCTCCACCCTCGCTGCCGTTTTATGGCAAGTAGTGCTTTGCGTGAAGTTCATTTTGACCTGATTCTTCTTCCGCAGATAGAACCATTGTACGGTTAGATTTGTGGTGCACTGTTTGTTTAAAAGGTTTTGCTGCATTGTATTTGGCGTGTAGTAAAATTCGTTTGAATACGAGACCAAGCATTTTTGGGATGTACGCACGATTGATTCACTGCATGCACCATCACACACGCCATCACACGCAGGCCATCGCATCGCACGCACATCGTGTGCATCATCATCGCATGCACCGTCATGAGAAACATTGCATGCATGCATGTGTACACCATCCCATCACTTGCGCGCACTGCTGCTATCCCCTCCTGTGTGCGAAGATGGTACTGGTTGCTTTCAATGAAGTGTGACTCGTTTCGCTCTCTCTCGCTGCTTCCCCAAGCCAACCGTGTGCTCCTCTCGCTCGCTCTCCCTCTCTCTCTCTCCCCCCGCTTCCTTCTCCGTGTGCTGGCAGGACGCCAAGACAGTGGTGGTGGGGTGGAAGAACCAGGGCTGGAAGCCGAGTGTGAAGACATGGTGGCCTCCCTTTGTCGCCAAGGGCGACAAGATAGGTCAGCTCCTGCTGCTGCCCCTATCCCCCCCCCTCTCTCTGAGTCTCCATGTCTCGCACTCTCTGTCTCCCTCGCCCTTGTGCGTCTTCCTACCCGTACTCCTCATACGTCTGCCTGCCTACCCCCACGCCCATGCGTCTGCCTACCACTACACGTGTCTCTCCCCCAACGCCCATGCCTGTGTGTCTGCAGTGTTCAAGTGGAACGACTGGCGGCGCAAGCACAACGTGGTGTCGGTTTCAGATTGGAACTACAACCTCTGCTTCTTTGGAAAAAGCGACTACAAGGTCTACGTGCTAACCAAGCCCTCGAACAAGGGCAGGCTCGTGGTGCTAGTGACCCTGGATGTCAGCGATAAGAAGTACTACAGAGGCTTCTTCACCAGCAGCGTCGGCAATGACTGTCGTAAAGGCATGAAGGTCGCATTGCTGCGCCCAGCACTTCGATGAGATTTGAGTCGACTCAAGGCTTGAGGTGACAGTGAATCCTGCTGATACCAAGTACTACAGAGGCTTGTTCACCAGCAGCGTGGGTAACAGGGCCCAAAATATCAGGGTATAACGCCCTGATTACCCTGGGGGCCGGCCGCTTTTTCAGGATTACCCTGCCAAAATCAGGATTTCACGATAGTTACCCTTCTGCAAAAAGAGCATGTTTTTTTTTTTTTTTAACACTGATTGGATTTATGGTTAGCCTGACGGTGTCAGGGTAGGGTGTAGACTACCTGATACCGAAACTTCTTTACCGCGGATCAGGCCATAACTCCGCGTGGTGACAAACTGTACCACACCCACACAAACAGGCGTTGTCGCTTGTGACCGCTGGCATAAACCCCTTCGGGCCCGTCTGATGCGTCAGAAATTCGGCCAATATCATACATACTCAAAGTATGCCCGAAAATGCTTGCAGGTGTAATCTAGCCAACAGTAATCCGAACAGTGGCACTGTTCCCAGCAGAAATCTGTCTTGGCGCGCCACCCGCAGCTTCACCAGTTGACCCACGTTGCTTCTGTACAGTGAAGGCACCACAGTGCAGGCATGTCAGAAGCGAATCCCACACCACACACGCATCTGTCAACAAATCGAGCCCCCCAACCCAACCCAAACCAAAGCGGCAGCCTCCCCTCGCACCAAAAACGAACCTGCAGAAACCAAACCAATTCCTTCCCCCCCCCCCCCCCCCCCCTCCTTTCCCCAACCCCTCCCACCCACCCCCTCAGTTCCATATCTCACTTGGAAGTCCCTCGCTGTCGAAATGTGAGTGTCATCCAGCAGGCACAGAAAGCATTGAGCTTCGAAACCCTAAAGTCAGGTTTCCTGGTTTCTTAGAAACATGGCAGAAAGTCAAACACCCGTAGAGTACAATCCAGAATGCTTTGATTAAAGCTGTCAATGGCCAATATCAGAAGGTTATAAACTCGTGTCTTTTTAGATCTTTCATCGTAATGGCTTACGTACGAAGGACGAAGGGTCCATAGTGGTCATTCTACATTGTAAGTGTCTTATTCTCACAATGTCTTACCTAAGTCTTCGTTGTCTTCAATCAACAGTTTTGGTGGTCCTAATTCCATACGCCTTAGGGTGCCAACTCTAACCGATCAGGCCGCTACCTATATTGTGACAGCACTTTGGTGAGGGTTACGGCAGTACTAATTGCTAGCATTTTCTATTTGCACCCGCCCTGCCCTCTTTCCGCCCCCTGCAGGGCCCAAAATAGGTTTTAGCTCACTCTTTCAAATCAGGGTGGCATCCCCTCCGTACCCTGACTGGTAGGGTAAAGTTTCTCGTACACTGATTGTAGCAGTCTAAAAGTTTTGGTACACTGATTTTGGCAGGATAATATATGTCGTACACTGTTTCCTTCCTAAGCATAAGATTGTACTACTACAACAATTACTTAGTTATCACTAAAGTGTTCTGCACTGCACCTACAAGCTTTACTACCAACCAAGTTAAATAGAGGGCCCTACAAAAGACGCTAGTCAATCAACATCTGCTGCACTAGCAACTGCCTCGTCTGCAAACTGCTTAGTGCTGCTGGCCTTCATGCCAGAGAAGTCTTTGGTGGATCGCCTGAGCTTCTCCCCGCGGAATATGGCGACCACCTCATACCAGTCAATGTCGTACTGCAGGAGGGAGCACCGCATCAGGTGCTCAAGGCTTGTGTCGCCGAGGCTGCCGCGGTCCCACGTCTTGATCAGCTTCCGCTTGCTGAAGCCGCGCTCACATTCAACCGTGCTCAGTGGTAGCACGGCGACAGACTGCCACATCCGGACGATGTTGGGGAACGACGCACGCTACGCCTCGTCGCGCAGCATGTTCCCCAGCGCCTGATGAAACTCCTCGCCGTTGTGCTGGGAGAACATGGTCGAGGTAAACATCCAGAGCTCCTGGCCGGCACGCTTGTAGTCGAACCCTGGTAGTGCGGAAGGGGATGATCATTGGCAGACGCTCATACATACGGGTAGGATTGGGAGGCATTAGTCCACAATACAGGGCCGGGTGATGAGTAGCAACAAGCGCGATGGGAAACAAGCTGGTGCAAAGCTGTTTACGCAAGTCAATCACTTATACCCGCCCCATCTAACAAACACGCTTACCAGGCAGCTTGTGGTTGTACAGCTTGTGGAGCTGGCCAAGCCACTTCCTGAAGGACTCCAGCCGCTGGGTGTCGTCGGCCACATACGACGCCGTACGAAACAGCTTGGCGCCTTCGAGGAGGTTGAGGTCGCGCATGCGCCACTCCAGCTCCGCGTCCACTTTGCGGATGAACTTGAGCGAAAGCTCGAAGCACGCGGTTACATCACCGTCTGTCTCATGGCCTGGCAGGGGGCGTTCGTGCAGGGTGAATTCGAAGGAGACGGCGTTGCCGTCCGCGTCCACGCCTTCCGCTTTCATCTGTCGCTTATCCATCTTCTGGTGAGCCTTGATGAAGTCAGGCAGCTGCATCTTCTCTCCGCTGCCAAAAAAGTGACCAGGGGACCTGTCGAAGTAGTGCGTCTTCAGGCGCATCCGCGTCTGTTGTACAAGGTGCGCCACGAGGGTGACGTCCACCTGCACACACATAAGACATGCGGTCAGAAAGAGCATTGTAGGCGTGCGTGTAAGTACAACTGTGATTGTTAGTTGGTTACCTGACGTTGCTGAAAGCGCAGATTGAGCTGGTTGAGCTCCCAGAGCACATCCGCGAGGAAGCGGATGAGCCAGTGGAACTTGAACGAGGTGACTACCTCGTACAAGTCCTTCTTGTAGTCCTTCAGCACGACAATGGCGGCAGGCAGAACGTCAAGGAACCGCTGGATCGCCTCGCCACGGGAGAGCCAACGCACGTCGTTTATGCCCTGCGCCTCCAGATTCGTCTGGCAGTAGACGCGCTGGAGATTCTGAAACTTGGTGTAGTCCACGCAGCTGCGGCCGATGTGCTCGGAGAAGGCACACACCACGTCGTCCACCATGCCGAGCTCGGGGACTGCCTCCGCCGCATCCTTAGCTGCCAATGCCTCCCTGCGCATTCAACTGGAGCATGTTAGTACGGTTTGCGCGTCACTGATCCTGTGCTGGAAAAAACTCAGAATCCAACATGCGTACCTGTGAGTAACGCAATGAGTTGAAGCCAGGTGTGGTATGCGCAGTCGCAGCCTTGCGACTAGACCGTTGTTCTTGCCGGTCATCACACTCGCCCCGTCCGTAGATATTCCAGAAATCCTCTGGAGATCCACCCCGATTCCTGTAAGGTACTGCACAACAGCGGAGGTTAGCGAGGCCGCATCGGCACGGTCCACGGTAATGAGAGTTAAAAACTCCGTTACCGAAGTTACCCCTTTGAAGAATGTCGCATACAGTATTAGGTGCTTGCCATTCACCCGGTCGGTGCTCTCATCCAGAAGAATCCCTATATATGGGGATTCCAGAAGGTGGCCGCGTTGAGTCTCTTGAAGGTAAGTGGAGGTTGCGCGCAGCATCTCTTTGAATCCGTAGCTGCGAGGACAACACACATGGTACACGAACATGTCAGAATGTTATGCTCTAGCCTGTAGTGGGGTGCTCTATAGCGAGTACAACTCTTCTAGGGTTTGCTATTTGTATCCTCATTCTTGCTAGTGCAGCCCTCTTCTTTCTTCTAATCTTTGACATGCTATCAGAGCAGGTCGATCCCCTTGGATCGATCCTGTGGGTGGGCTCACCACCTCGTTGCTTCCGCTGCAACTCCTACTGCTACTCTCTGTGCCGCACGCCCCGTGGCGTGCGGCAGTTTTTCTTCCCGCCGTGCGCCCCGAGGCGCGCGGCGGTTTTCTGCCCGCCGTGCGCCCCGAGGCGCGCGGCGGTTCTCTGCCCGCTGTGCGCCTCGAGGCGCGCGGTGGGCTTTTGCCCCGTCATTCGACGCGTCGCCCTCGGGAGGTGCCGCGACGGGCGACGGGGACCCGCGCGTCGCCCCCCGTCGCCCGTCGTGGCCTGCGCGCGGCCCGTACAGGCAGCGCGCGGCCCGTACGGGCTGCGCCAGGCCCGCGCGCGGCCCGTACAGGCTGCGCCAAACCCGCGCGCGGCCCGTACGGGCTGCGCCAGGCCCGCGCGCGGCCCGTACGGGCGGCGCCAGGCCCGCGCGCGGCTTGAGCCGCCTGCGCGCGGCTCGGGCGACTGTACCAGGCCCATGGTGGGCCCGTTCCTTGCTGCCCCTGCCCTCCCCGCTGTCCCCCGGTGCTTAGGGTTTGGGGGTGAGGGGTATCGGGGTGAACCCACTGTGTGCCGTTCCCAGCTCCTCCTCCTCCTCCGTCTCCCTGTGCTGCAGCTGCCGCTGAGGGGGGGTGGACTTGTTGGAGCCGTTGGAGTGGTACTAAGGGGGGGTGAAGGGGGAGTGGAGCTAGGGGTGAAGCAACGGGTGTGTGTCAGGGGGGTGGGACTGTTTGGGGAGGCTGAGAGGAGGCTGCCGTCTTGTCGTCCACAGCACCTGTAGTCCGGGGCGCTGTCCTGGTAGCCCAGAGAGCCTGCTGCGCCTGCTCCTGTAGCTCTTCGTAGCCCGTGAGCCAGTTACTCCAGTAGTCCGTGGCGCTGTCCCGGTAGCCACTGTGCCAGCCGCTCCTGTTGCCCTGTGTGCCTGCAGCTTCAGCCGGCGTCTCTCATCTTCTCTCCTCTCACAGTCCCTCCTCCTCCTCGCTTGCCTGCTGTGACTACCACTAGCTTTGCTCATAATTGTGAACTTTAAACTATTGCTTCTTGAACTTGTGCTCAGAATGTGTGGTGACATTGTGATCCACCCTGAGCTTGTTCTGCTTTGCTTGCTCTCCTGATTACACCCCACTTTGGCTATGGGGGTGTGTCAGAATGTTATGCTCTAGCCTGTAGTGGGGTGCTCTATAGCGAGTACAACTCTTCTAGGGTTTGCTATTTGTACCCTCATTCTTGCTAGTGCAGCCCTCTTCTTTCTTCTAAAATTTAACAGAACACAAGTTGCAGTAGCATCTGGTCAGCTTGAGTCACGGAACAAACACAAGCGCCACGAACCCGCACTTACTCGGTGTAGTAGGCGCCGTACCCTCCAGACGGTGGAAGGTCCGGCAGTCCTTCCTTAGCCAGAAACCAGCACAAAGGAACAAACATTGCTATTGGCGCGTCAGCCTTGCAGATGAAGAGCGCGAGGTGGAGGCAGCGGATGATGTGCCGTGTAGCTGCATCAGTGCCCTGCCACCTTGTTAGTGTGGCTTGCTTCGCCTTTTCCGCGTCTGCTTTAGCCTCGTTTTCCAAGGCCTGCTTGTGGGCTCTGCTTGATGTGTGCGCGCGGATGCTCCCTAGCTGCATGTCTCGGGCACCCTCACCTATGGCGCCGTAGGCAGTGTGCGCGTTTGGATCCCCGTGCTTGATGCAGATGGCACATTTCAATGACGGCCTGCCGTTAGTCATGCGCATTAAGCGCAGCCAACTGAATTTCTTTGACCATTGCGAATCGAAAGTCGTTTTTACCAACTCATACTCAGCCTCTGCAGAAGCGGTTGGAGGCTTCGGCTGAGCAGGAGCAGCACGGCGTGGCGGTGATGCCTCTTGTCGTGGAGGAGGGGCGCCCCAGAGCCTCTGCTGCTTGTATGTCACGCCCACACGCTGTCGCTTTGCGGGCGCGGAGCTAATTGTGGACGGGGCTGCAGTGGCCGGCTTCGACGGGCCTTCGCCGCCATCGGGAACAAGCTCGAGAGACGGGTGTGGCTCCCATGACTTTGGCGAGGCCGAACGCTCGCACGGGAAAACGGTGCCGACAAGAAATTCAGGGGATGGCTCACGTGCAGGCTGAGAGATAGGGATGCTATAGTTCTCAGCCAGCCGAGGTAACACACCGAGAACGGAGAGACCGTTCCTGGTGCTACCAGGCGGATCAGGCTCAGAGGCAGGCATTCGGAACAACAAACGAGAGGGAAACAAGAGAATGGCAAGAGCCTGAGAGACCCCTCGGGAATCACAAAGCCCAAGGCGCCTCAGGCAGCAAGGTTCCCTCGCTGGTAGGGAGCTGCACGGCAATGGCTGCAAGGCCACAGTGACTGCCAGGTGGTGGAAACGACAGCACGTGGCGCGCAATTTGCCTCCGTTGGCAGTGCGCGATGTTGCGTGACGCACGGAAACTGGGTGCGTTGGCTTCAATGTCGCTCAACAGACCAATCGTAGGTGTGCGGTGCCATCCGCCCTGAATGTACGTTGGCGCGCCAGTGGGTGTATCCAACAAATGGTCCAGTGGGACCGTGGAGCATTTCGTCGTGGCGCGGACTGTGGCGGAATCCGCGGTACGGAAAAGTTCCGGTAAAAGGGTAGTTGAACCCCTACCCTGATACAGTCAATGTAACTGGAAAAGCTACAAGAGTACTTTTAAGCGTATTTTGATTGCACTAGGGTAAAAATCTGCATACCCTGATTTGAAAACAGTAACTGCCAAAAAGTGGCCTATGAGCAGGGCAAAAAGGGTAAAATACCCTTGAAATTTGGGCCCTGGCCCCCTGCCCTCCTTCCGCCCACTGTCCTCTTTATGTTATCTGTTTTCCTTTTTTCTCTTTTTTTTTTTTTTTTTTTTTTTTTTTTTTTTTTTTGCGCAGATGGATAACCGCAGCAGCACACTGGACTTTGTTGTAGGAAAGCGCTACAGCACCGTTATTGAGGCACGGGATGACATCAACAAGCAATGTCATCGATTGCAGGTGTCCTTCGTCATCTCTCAGAATACAACAGTGAGGTTGGATGTGAGGTGTCCTTCAGTTGTGAGTCGTTACACCAGAGGCCGTGTGCAAACAACAGCACTTGGCTTCCGTTGTCCTTTCAAGATCAACATACGGACCACAAGCTGTGGCAACTTGCGAGTTACAGATACACACCTACTGCACCATATACGATGCACTGCTCGTCTTCACAATGCCCGTAGGAAAACTCTGACTGCTCTGGCAATGTCATTGCCAGCAGGTAGCTTGACGCCGAATGATCTGAGAAATGAGATGCAGCAGCGTCATGGGGCAAAAGCATCATATGCAACAGCATGGCGGGCCCTTAGGGACCTGAAAGAGAATGACCCCTTGCAAACTGAAAAATCCTACGAGTTCGTCCAGAGCATAATGGAGAGGCTCGTGGCAAAGAACCCTGGGACTTTGGTCTACTTGAGCAGACGAGAGGGTCGTTTTTTCAGTGCTTGTGTAATACCAAATGTTGCGCGGTCAACGATGTTGAACGCTGTGCCGATACTGATTGTTGACGGATGTCACAATAAAACAGTATGGGGGGGGCACACTATAAACCTTGTCGTACTTGATGGGGATGAGCACTATGTGTCGGTGGGCATAGCTTTTGTTGAGTCTGAAAGCGAGGAGGGATGTTCTTTGCCGTTAAAGCTGCTGGTGCGCGCATTTCCAGAGTTGAACTCTGCGTCGTGGACACTGAAACACGACCGTGCCAAGGGATGGGATGCCGCGTGTCGTGCGGTGCTTCCGAATGCACAAGTTTCGTATTGCGTGACGCACTGTGGAGAATAGAACGAGAATGGAATGAACTATGAGTGAAGTGAGTACAAATAGCAAAACCCTAATTGGGTTGTACCCCCTATGGTATACCCCACTGTAGCCTACACAACA